GGTCTGGAACTTTCCCAGTCTAGAACATTCCCTGCTGATGACAACTGCCTGGGAGCTTGACATAGTTTTGTATATATTTATGTACATTGTACCTATTTCATTATTTCTTTGAATGTTATTATTAATATTTCATTAAAGTAGTTTAGTTTTTTTCTAAACTCACAATTCCCTTTATCTCTCTTCTTCGTCTCCTTGGAGCGAGAGGTGAGGGAGAGCATCTGTTGTCTTGTCATGGGCCAACCCAGCCCAAACCACAGCAGCCACCCTCCCTCTCCTTTGACATAGACGCAGATACCATTCCCTCAGTCTATAGGTCATCACCATTAAAGGTTCAGAACAATTAGTTGTCACATATGACTCATCAGAACAACTCGTATAATCTGAACTCTGTCTCCTGTACATTCTTTTGGGAAGAAGATCCACATGTGTGGATGCTTGAGCACAGTGCCCAGGCAGGAGCATTCACCATCTGGATGCATGACCAGGAGGTGAATGCACATGATCCGTGCAGAATGTATGTGGATGTTGGTTACACATGTCTGATCCATCATGGGGAGGGGAATCTACCCCATACGGCCCCTCCATGAGCACAAGAACAATCTGCATAGCTCTTCCCAGGTGAAAGGCTGGACAGTTACGAGTTACCCTCTAACACAGACCGGTCCATGAAACCTTACTGAGACTCTTTGATTCTGCACTGTAGATGCAAAGTCGTTCATCCTGCAGATTAACAGCTTTGTTCACGGTGTTTGTGCGTGAAGCTCTGGGTCAAAACTAAGAATGTGTATATATATATATATATATGAAGTAGGCTTGTGTCAGTCCAGACTGCAGATTCAGCACATCACCTGAAGATTGCTGATTTTATCACTGTAAGCATGTGTCAAATCAATCCCTTTTGCTTTGCCCTAAGTCAGCTCATTTTTTGTAAATTCTATCTTTATTTTTCTCATTACCATCTAAGAAACCGGAGTAAGCTGAAAGCATCTACATTTACATATTGCAAGACCTGAGCCTTCACACTGAAAATTTCCAATACTTCTCTACCACAACGATTGTAAAATTTGGGCTATGTATAATTTGCTTCAACTTCCATGCCAAAGGAATTACATCAGGATACACTCAACTATTTTATTTTTGGACATGAGACTACTTAGAAAAAGCTGCTAGCCACTGACATGGAGAAAAATTAGCAAATACAAAATAATTTCTCAGAACTTCAAGCAAAATTATACCCAGGTGAAACAAATAGAAAATTAGCACAAATTAACGTTTTACAGGGCCAACTACCAAAATATGATGCAGTTATAATAAAATCAGACTAGATTCATCAAATATTCCTTACTTCTTCAGTAATTATTTTCTTTTCCAGTGCCACATACTACTTTTTGGATGCACAAACTTTTCTCTATCAAGAGAACTGCAACACCACTTGCTGTGGCTGCTTCTTAATGCAAAGTACAGGACTGGCTAAAGGACTGTGCATGCCCTGAGCTCGCCAAAATCAATCAGTAAACTGCAACTGGTTAAGAAATACTTCGGTCGCAGCCCAACAGATAAGCTGAGTCAATTCTTGAGGATTACATCCACAACCAGAAATGTCGAAGGTGACAGTGCAAGTAAAAGCTTCATCCTGGAGCTAAACAGACAAACAGTAAAAGTCTCCAGCATGGTAACAGCAAGAAAACACACATGGAAATTCTTGCAGCTCCTCTAAAAATAAGCTAAAAGAGTAGTTAGAACAGATCTTTATTTATCCCTCCTGTTCCTCTAAAAAAAAATTCAAGCAGAGCACATGTGTACTATTTCATGTTTCAGCTACATTAGTGCCTATAATTACCCTGAAGGATCATCTCTTCATGTTTCTTCCCTATAAATCTCTACAGAATACTGGGATCTCTACTATATAAAAAGTAATGAGATAGCTGAAGATTTTTGGTAGAACTTAAGAGAGTCGTGTAATAACACAGGGAAGTAACAAATTGAGGGAAGCAGAGACAAATTTTAAACATTCAACTCTCCAGAGCCAGTTTTCTCTTCCAAACTGTCAACAACGGTTGCGGGTTCCCTCTTCTCTATACTTTGCAAACTGAAATCTAATCAACAGATTCCTTTATTGAGAAAAGGGACAGCAAGAACAGTTGCATCAGTTTTTGATGGTTTTACTTACTACAATAGGAATGTACTGTAGGGAACAATCCAGTATTTGCAGGGAAATGGACTGGATGATCTAATACAACTTTTCCATTTCTGACTTCTTAGAACAGCTCAGGCTGATCCAAGTTCACAAAGAGATTTCTGTCCAATAATACTGAATGAAGAGAACTCTAAGACAAGGTTTGGGGCTTTTTTTTTTTTTTTTTTTTTTTTTTTTCAATTTTAAGAGAGCCAGAATAGCAAACCATATGCCGTAGTATCCAACCATACAGAAAAAACTATGATAATTAAAATAATTAAATACCCATAAAACTTAGAATATCTGTAGAAAAAGTAAGGAGTTCATTTTATAGTTAAACCTTTCAAGCAATTTGGAGCATTTAATCCGTTTTATAACTTAGAAAAAAAGCTCTTTTCTAATATTTGAAATTACTAAACAGTAAGGTAAGAAGATCCGCTTAGAAATTTTTATTAAGCAGTGTATCTATCTTAATACTTAATACTATACCTATGCTCATTTTCTTCCAAAAGTGACACATACCAGGTTCGCAACATCCTTGGCTCTAAGCTAGTGCTTTTTTCTTTTCTTTTTTTTTTTTTTCTTTTTTTATTACAAAATATCTGTCATCATTCTCTGCCTGAGGAATTAAAAACATTTGTCTTTGCAAGTACAGTTGACTTTAAAAAGTTATTGCTAGGAAAAACAGTCTTTCAAATAAGACACCAAAACCCAGAAAGAAAGATTTGGCACTTTAGAAGCCTTGTAACAGGGAAAAATTATGGCAGATGGAGTTCATTCTTCTGCTTTCACAGCTCTTTTCCAAAAAGGCTATGGACTGCCTTCTCCGAAACTTGATAGGATAATGAATAATTCTTCTAAAAAACGTGTTAAAGGTCAAACAAACACTATGAGTTTCAAATACAGTTAAGACCATCTTGGGGCAGGGAGATGAACTAGATAAACTTCTAGATCTTTGTGCCCAACTTTCCGGAACTGAACACCACAGAAATGAAAGGTGATGTTCAGTAGCCTGGCATATGCACTAGGTCAGACCAGGTGCTCTTAATAATCTAAATTCTTATAGTTAAAAAACTTTACCTTGTGAATTAAATTTGTATGGAATACTAAAGAACTGCAACTAGGGAACATGAAAGATGCAGTTTCAAGAATTGAGTCTTTTTTAAGGTAGCATGAGACTTAACAGGACATTGAAAGAACTGTCCCCAGGGTCAGAGTTACATTTAATACTTGGACCTAAATGCAACACGATAAATAATAGAGATAGTTGGAATACCTCAATGTCTTCTTCTTGTAATTGCTGTAATTGTAATCTGTGACCATTCACTGATCCCCAAAACTTTCTATCTGCCTCAAGAAAGCTTTCTCATGACTTCTTTTTTATTAAAATCAGAAAGACCAATCCTCCCTGCAATAACAAACAACATGGTAACTAGGGCACGCAACTAGGAGAGCCAACTTTTCCAAACTGAGAGTACACTCAAGGAGAGTAAATTAGCTGCTGTGTTGCTACCGTCGTCATCTTTTGAGGGAAGGGGCAAAAGGGAACAAATGAACAAGTCTGAAAAGGTTTAGGTTTTGCCTCAATAGAAAATTAGAGCAAACATTAAAATGTCAATGTTTTGCAGATCGACACATTTTCAAACCAGACTTCTGTAACTCCCAATCCAGAAAGAAAACTGATTTAGCTGCTGACCTAACATTTTGCTTAGATACACACCACTGTCAGTCTATATTAGAAACAAAACCAGTGATTCCCCATTCCGTGATCCTCTCAGCCACCTGAGCAGACAGCTGCAGCAAAGCAGGATGGAGTCTGGAAATCACCGCACTTCAGAAATTTTGATGAAATTCTTTAGGCAAGAGAGTATTGCCAAGAACTGCTCCTCTGTTTGTTCCTTTTGTGTATCAACCACCAGCTAGTACTTCTGTTTATTTTATATGTAATTTCTCAGCCAATTTGAAAATAATTTTGGCCAGGTATCAACATTTTTACATCCTTTTCTGGAATCAGATAGCTACAAGAAATGGAAAAAGGTGACTCTACTGACTTGTTTGAGACCTCAGAATTTCCTTGCAGCTTGAATTAGCTCTGTACTGGAGATTGAAGACATACTTACCATTTTGTAGGAGTGGAACATTTCTAACCAGCTGATTGGTCCCATTTTTCTGCTATAAGCAATTTTACCATTAGCAGGGTAGCTCTGCATACTCCCATGGCATGCTTTGATTTCTTGTTGCTGATCATTTTCATAGCAGGACACTTTACTCAAGTATTCTTCCAAACTTATTTTAGGTTGTACTTTAGTCCAACATATTTATGTGCAAAACACAATTTTAAATGGAGGCAAGCCAATAAAAGAAACAGCTTACTAGAATTTCAGTTGACTTTGTTAAAGGAAATTATTTTAAATTAATGTGGCTACTGAACTGTTGCCATACTTGACCTCAGAAAATATATTCCTTCTAATTTTTGCTGTGAACATTTATTTATTTAAGCTAAACTCCAGGTCTTGAATGTTGACCATAAAGAAGTCTCAGATTTCCTGCTACTATTTCGTACTCTTTTTTTTCTAAACAAGGGCAAACAACATATGTTTGCTGCATTAGCATTACACTGCCAAAACATCACTCTTAAATGAAATCATCTATGTATTTTTGGTAGAATCTTATTTAACAACTTCCACCCCTGACAGAAACAGAGTTAAAACAAGGCTGTTTTGTTTTCACTGAGCAACAGTTTGATCACTGGTTTACTAGATGGCGCTCAAAACATTTTTCCATATGCTCTTCTCAAAGAGAATCTGACTTAAATGTGGTTTACCTTCACCAGTGAATGAAGGCTTTTTTCACCAAACATATCCCAGAGGAAGGTCAGGTCTTCCTGGCTGTCCACATGTGGCTGCAGCTGGGCTGGCAATGCAGCCAGCAGCTCGTACAGACCTATAAAATGAAAATAAAACACAAAGTGTAATCTGGGGGTGATCTCATTAATTTCACTTAACAGTTCTGTGTAATTGGCTGCCTGGAGCATGTCATTTTAACTGAATAGGGAGTCTGGAGTATTCAGAATAACATTAACTTGTAGAACCAAAAGGAACATTTTAAAAAAATTACTAAGAAGCAAGTATTAGCAGTGTACTTTTTACCTTGTCACAGTTGTCAGGCTTCTACATCCATATATATTTACACAAGGTTATGCAGAAAATTCATAAAGGTTTTGAAAAGAGGACAAAACCAGAAAAAAACATACATTCCTTTACTTAATCGTTATTCCATTTCCCTTGATGTTAGCCAAAGAGTGAAATGAGTCATGAATAGGAAAAACTTCCTTAAAAGAACAGAAACTGGATAGGGTGGTCCATTAAAAAAAAGGTTCGTGGTTTCTCTAAATATTTCTTGCTAATATATTGCTTAATATTTTTTTTTATCCTGTGTTCAGTAGGAATCCACAGCAAGACAAAAGGAACTTCTCTGTTTTGCAGGATTAAACCTTAAAAATCAAAACCAACAGAGTTTTCCCAGACACACACGCACAAGAAATACTTCAGTAACAAGTTTTAATTTGCAGGTATTTGAGATTCTCCGTAGGGTTAAAGCAATTGCTGTTCCCAGTTATTTGTGGCACACCTCCCCAGCGGGCTCCGAAGGGCAGACAGTAGCACAGTGTTCCACAGTAGCATACAGCATAAAATATCCATCATGCACACAGGCCATCAAACTGCTGTCCAAGAAATGCAGCAACAGTGTTTGCAGCAGCCCTCTTTAGGGAGGTAACCTGGCATGAGTCGATATCAATTCATAGCACATGTTTAATTTTCCAGTGGGATTACTTGGGGTAAAAAGGACAAAATGCCTTTTTTCTCCTGTCTGCTGTCTACAAAAACACCAATACTCTCTTGGGATCCAAGATACACGGTCCTGCTATTATTTTTAGTCTGAGTAAGTGCTGCTGTTCATCACAAGGACAGATTAACAAGATATTCTACTGGTAAAGAACACTGTAGTATGTTAATAGGTTACCTATCGCTATTCTGCTTATTATCTCCCTAAAACTTATAATTTAGAATACTTATTAGTAAACATCATTTCAAAACCTTTCCAGGCACTACATATCCCTTTCAAAATTACATATAGCACCTTCAAGATGTGATTGCTTCACATTTTTGTCTTTTTACTGCCTTTCAGTAAAATATTTGGGGGAAAAAAGGTTCCTTCCAGATACATTCTTTTTGTGGTCCAAGCATTTTTGGTGGCTGAAATTCATTTCTCTTAGTACCTCGCTTGTATTTAAACCTGCTCTTGTTTATGCTTCAGAAATAATGCAAAAAGAGAATACAACTCAAACCACTACAATCTTGCAGAGAGAAGACGACCTCTGAGCCTGGGCTAGCAGGACACAGCCAGTGACTGAGCCAACACTCAGAGAACAGTGGTTTGAATGGGACTCTTGGCTCCGACTTCCCCGGCTATTAGAACTTCAGCACTCAGAAAAAATGGTTATTTTTGTCACGCAATTTATGCTTCAAAACATTTTCATTTAGAAAACTGAAAAAAATTATTTACACTCAGGCTTATATTTCTGCACATAGTCATTTTTGGTACTGCAAATACATTTGCCTCAGAATAACTCCAAGGTTGTTAGAAAATGAAATAGAGGGCTCAGTGTAAGCTTACACTGGGGCATAACTGCTCAGGAACAATTCACGCGTGCCATTCAGAAGAAAGAAAATATTAACTTCAGCCACTCCCTTCAAGTAAGAAATGTGTAACAGAGTAAGCTTTCTTCTCCTTGATCCATCGGATCTGCTCACATTTCACATATAATCAACTATAAAACTATTCTATCCTCGTTACTTGCTCCTCAAAGCTTTGATAATTAAATCCCCAGTGAAAATAAAATGGAAGTTCATGTTTCCTGATGGATTAACTATTACAGCAGTGACACCGGGTGAGACTGAATCTGCCTATAATGAGACTTGGGTTTCATGCAGAGAACTCCCCGAGGAAAAACCCTGCCTCCCGGCCCTCCAAGCCTGACTAACCCTGCAGGTGCTTACACTCATTACGGGTTCCACATCCAGCTCAAAAGTGTCTGTGGGCTTTACTTATTCATATAGCCCTGAATCACCCCTTTGAGGGAAACGGGCATCCACGTCCCCAGCACACTGCTGGTAGCTTCGACAGCAACACACCCCATCTGTGCAGCTCTCCTGGGGAAATTGGAGAAAATTAAGCAGGTTCTAATTGTCCAATCCCAGGGCTATGTTTGTGGTGCTGCCCTGCTTTGGCCCTACAAGCCAGCGTGTAGAGCTTTCAGCCAGAAGGAAATCAGAATCCCACCCTTCTCTGAGCAGCAGAACCTGAGGACTACGCCATGCAGCATGCTGGAGAACACCATGCTCCTGCTCTTCAGGCTCCTCTTGAAGCTCAGCACTATGTAGGCAGGAATTTTAAAAAACGAACACAACCTCAATCAAGGAGTCAAATGAAAATCAGGCAGAAATAGGACTGAGGGTATTTAGTTGGGGAGAGCAGAAGACAAAGATCTCAGCTGTGGCCTCCTTCCAAACAGAAGGTAAGGGCAGCAGAAGGTGCTATCACCTGTAAAGGTTTACCTTTAGAGACAGAGTCTCATTTTCCCTCATTCCTTCTACGATGCCCAATACCACAGAATCAAAGACTTTCAGAGAAACATTCAGATTTTTACATATGAAGAAAAACAGTATGTGGATCTTCTACATACACACCCATCCAACTAAAATGTCGCACTTCATTTGTGTCTCAGTTACACAAAGTGTGTTGTTCTTATTCATTGCAGTGTGAAGAAACAGTGAAAACTGTGGCTGGCACATGACTTTACTAGCAAATAGGATTTTAAAAGAAAAGTGCTTTTGTGATAGGGACAGGGACAGAATAATTTGTCCAGTTGCTGTTACCTAGCAATGAAGTTGAAACCACAACATTGGCAACTACGCATTGGCCTAGTTTAAATTACCAGATCTGATAACTTGTCACATCCATCTTTCCAACATCCGACTTTCTTTGGGCGGTACCTCAAATCTCTGCGGTCCTGTAGGGTGTCACTATACACGAGAATTAATCCGAATTGAACAGCAGAGACTGCTTCAGCCCGCCCTCAAACCTCCTGCAAAACTAACTACCATCTCAGGTGGTTCTGTAAGCCACAGCCAAGGACCACTGAAATCAATGCAAGTTTCTCACCAGCTTTAGTACTGCCAGGCTGTTGAAACCAGATTTTTTTTTTTAATCTTTTAAGTAGCGATTCTCAACACTGAATTGATGCTACACTGAACACTTTCAACTACTCCTAAAAACAAAAATTAAATTTTAAAAAGGTCATAGCTATATGCCCTATATTTAGATGAACTGCTTTGTAAATTAAAAACGCATGGTCGTGCTGTAAGCCACTGAATGAGATATATCTTAGCACCTCAGAGCTGAATAATACCATTGTAAGCACATGACTGCCAAGCCTCAGTTGTGCTCTTGGTCCTTCCACCTCCTTGAGTCATATCACAGAACGGTAGAGGTTGGAAGGGACCTCTGGAGATCATCTAGTCCAACCCCCCTGCCAAAGCAGGTCCACCTAGAGCAGGCTGGACAGGAAAGCATCCAGGTGAGGTATGAATATCTCCAGAGAAGGAGACTCCACAGCTTCTCTGGGCGGCCTGTTCCAGGGCTCTGGCACCCACAAAATAAAGAAGTTTTTCATGTTGAGATAGAACTTCCTGTGTTCCAGTTTGTCCCCGATGCTCCTTGCCTTGTTGGTGGGCACCGCTGAAAAGAGTCTGTTCCCATCCTCTTGATGCTCGCCCTTTAGATATTTATAAGCATTGATGAGATCCCCTCTCAGTCTCAGACATGCATGGACCTCCAATTAAAAGAAGTATTTTGCACACATTTTCAGAAAGATGCCTGCAATTTAAATCAGTAACAAAAAAGTGCTTTTAAAAAACTATCTAGAAGTTCTGTTTAAAAAAAATTAATGAAAAGCCAAAGCCAAAATCCTGTGTTTTTTAATGCCTGATGCTGACAACACTGTAAATTCTTTTATTATACACTATTGCTATTCTACTCGGGTTCTTGTAATTTTTTTTCAGTCTAGTTTGCCTAAATTTAATCAACTTTCATATTTTAAAGGAGTCATACACCCACTGCTATTTTCCAGTATCGAAATACTTCAGGTGTCAAAATCCAGTAAAGTAAACATGACTTGCACAAGAAAAACTCATTTACTTTGATTTTAAAAAGCAGATCATTTATTCAAAGATCCCAGACGACCTGAGCATACATAAAAAATTAACAATTAGCTTAAACATGGAGATGTAAGACTATTTCGCAATTATAAGAGGGGAAGCAAGTCCTGTCAGTCCCAGAACTGCAACAACAGATCACAGTGTAATCAACCCTGGACCTTCCCAAACCATTGGAACAGAGGAGGAAAAAGAGCCCTTTTGAGATGAAACAAGGCAGCAGTAATAGGAGTCAACTCCAGGTAAATAGAGTGATCCACTCCTAGTTTTAGATATTACTGTGTTGCTATATATGAAGAATATTCACATTATATCAATTAGGTACAGTATCTACTACTGTTTGTGAATTAAGTAAAAGCCTGTAGCATGGAAATATTAATAAAAGGAGACAGGCATTGCACATAATACTATAAAACACTTGTAAGAGTCGAATGGGGAAAGGGGTGTTTGAAAGTGCTTATATAGTCAGTTAACTCTGACTACCCAATTCAAGAATAAAAACATTTAAAAATAATAAATTAATACTGGACATACAATACATTTTAAATGAAATTTAGTTCAGCCAAGAAAAGTGACACAGGGAATTAAAAAAACACTCACTAGATAACCCTCCCTACAGAAATAGTCCATATAAACTATATGCATTTAGATAATCTAAATACACAT